TAAGTTAATGGTAAACAGACTTAGGTTGTATGGACACACAATGAGAAGGCCTATGAATTACATAGGAAATAAGGTTGAGAGTTTGGAAGTGATGGACAAACGTAAAAGAGGAAGGCCAAAACTTCAATGGGGCCATAAAGTTAGAGCCTATATAAAGAAGTATAAATTAGATAAAAGAGATTGTATGAATAACATATAGTGGAGAGAGATGCTGAAGGAGCTTACCACCAGAAAAGGTGAAAGCTAAAATAAAAAAAATAAATATTTTCCATGGAAGAATATTAGTTCAAAAGGACCAAAACGCATGCAATTCATAAAAATTATGATTATTGGAAAGTAGAAATATAGGAATTAGAAATGTCTTCAACAACCAGATTGTGAATATATCGGGAATTTTGAAGAGGGTTAGGAAAGCATTGTACAAAGGCAGATTTTCAGATAATTATTTAAAAGATGTCTCTTAAAATAGCATCAGAAACTTATCAGCAGGTTTCACCTATTTTTACTCTGACTGAGAAAAAAGAATTTATAATTATCATGTTTATTTTCTTCGGTATTCTCAATTGTTAGTTCTAATCAAAAAATTGTGATTTGTCTGAATTTGGGATAACTATTTTGATGGAGGTTATTGCTTATTCTTATTTTATTGCTTTTATTCTTAAAATATAAAAGTTAAATTTGTAAATATAAGTTTTATTATGCTTACCAATTTGAGTTTTAGAATTATCATTTCTTAAATAATTTCTTCATCATAACAATAATATATCCATAAGATAAAAATAGTGATATTTACAGTTTTGGTCGTGCTGAACAACGACAAATTTTTAAAACTATTTTAAGGGTCCTATTCTACCTCAAATCATGCACTCGCTTCCGATCTGCTACATATCATACCTCGTAGTACAGAAATACCTATCTTAAAATCGTTGAAAAAAAGGCTATAAAAAATTATCCACATCGGATTAAACCAGTAACCCCTCGCTTCACTATAATTTCTACACTACTCATTCACTAGCTGTATAAAACAAACAACAATTTTTATAATTTATTAATACTTTGTCAAATGATAAATAGTTTTCAACAAAACATTTTTTTTTGTGGTTCTAAACTCAAAATAATATTATTCAAAAAGGGTCATGTTTTTAGCGTGAATGTTTGATTTTTTAATATGTTTTTATTAAAATATTAGATAACGTTAGAAATCCTTACACACAAAAAAAGTTGCTGATGCTTTATTTGCTATAAACGTTGATTGAGAAAACGTTATAAATTTCTGGGTTCGAATTTCGAATCCAGGGGAGGTCTGAAGTTAATATAGGTAGTTTTGTGTACCAAGATATGATATATGTCAGGCTGGAATTATTTTAATAAAATTTGGCCGTTGTTTAGGAAATTACTACACGATGACAGACGGTATACATTATCATACACATTATAAATTTATATAAATTGGGAAAAAATAAAAGTTTTCAAGGAAAATATATAAAAATTTACGCCGTCAACGATCTTATACTTATATTGATTAGTTATTTGAATTGAGTTTCCTAGTAATTTGTGGTCACTGAATCACCGGTAATTGCTAGTCAAAGGGCTGCACTAATATTTAAACGGCTAATTTTGTCTTGGTCGATATTATATCTTGGCTGAAATATTTTTTCGAAATTGGTTTCCAATTTATTTTAAAAAAAACGTGCTTCTTCTAAGTTGTGATATAATAATATTCATGATCTCATGACTTCAGCCAAATCCATTTTTTTGAAAAATATTGAAAAATTGTTGTGTATTAAATTATTTATTATTAATACATTCCAATGAAAAAATTGGCAGTCATATTAAATTAAATAATGTATCAGCTTCAGATGAAATAAGTGTTTCAGGTGATTCTGATATTTCTCCAAGGGCATACAAAATAGACTCTTCTAGATCAAAAAAGTTCTGCAACAGCTTGATGTCAAAAGCTCCATATTGTCGTGTAGGCTTTTTGTAGTTCTTTATTCTTGTAGCACAAGAAGTCTCAGAAATAATTATATTCAGCAAATTCTGTCTATTTGGATTTCTGAACATTTCATACACTCTATAAATTTTTTAATCATAGTTATTAGTAGAGATAAATTATAGAATTTATTTTGGTTGATAAAATTTTCTTATATCCATCAGTGATGTAAGAAAATAAACTTCATGAGATAAAATATTAATATACAAGAAATTAATATTAAAATTAAATGCAATTTTTTACTAATATTTAAAAATTCTTGCTATCTTCCCCTCTCTCATCCCCTTCTCCTGGCGCGATTGTCATAATTGGCGTTTTTTTAAATCATTTTTTTTTGTAAATTTATTATATGTATTTTTATCACTCTCAATAATCCGATTTGTTAACCTTAGCGCATTGATTTGTTTTGAGGGTTGTGAGACGCATCGTGAGTCAGTTTTTATATATATTTTGAAAAAGAAACTTTGTAAAATAATTAATATTTTTTTTGTATTTTAAAAAGAAAAATAAAGGACCCGAAAATCTTTTTGTTTATATTTTGTTTTGGAAGTAAAGAAATTATATTAAGAATTCAATATATTCGGAGAGAAGTAATTCGGTAAATCTGCACAACAGCAAAGCGATATTTTTCCAAAAATTTTGCCTCGAAAGGGGGGACTTCTCCCCTCTCCCCTATTCCCCCGCTGCCTACGTGTTTGTTTTAACCTTATAAAACTTATTATGTATAATTTTTTGTGGTTATCGTTTTTTTTTATTGAATCACTTTTTAATTTCGTGACAATTCTCATATTGTGCTAAAATAAAATAACTGAGTTTGTTGTATATATAAAGAATTGTACCATAATATCCGAAAAGCTCATTTAAAAAAAATCACTCTTTATGTGTCTTAAATTTGAAAAATTATTTCATCAAAAATTGTAGCTGGACGTTTTTTTTTATTGAGACAGAGCGATATATACTGCAAAACTAATATTATATTTAAAAAATATATAACCTGCGAAACCAAAGCCCAGCTAAAGATGTGCAAAGAGCGAGTCCCCTTCTCCCAAATATTTTCCTCTTAGGACAATCCTGGCTCCTAAGTTGTGTGATTTATTTAAACAGAATTTTTTAAAAAAATCATTAAAAAATATTTGAAGAATTTTTTTTTAAATTTTAGATTTCATCTGAGATTTTTTATGCATGAATATTATAAAGACCATTAAGAAAAATTTGCATTTTTAAGCAATTTATAAAATTTCTTTTTCAAAAAAATCTTCAAAGATTTATGTTTAAATATTTTTGAAGATTTTTTCTAACTCTAATTTAATGATAATTTTATGCAATTCAAAGTAATAAACTAGTTATTTAGGTCTATTCATATTCAAAAACGAATCGAATAGTAATGACATATGGTAAATTATTTGTTTTGTTCGATTACAAATAAAGAATTATTTAATTCTAATAAAACGAATAGTTCAAGTATTCAGCGAATTATTTAAATAATTATTTTATTCGACAAATTATTTGAACAATTTTTTTATTCGAATAATTTGATCTTTTATTGAAATTATTCTGAATAATTATTAATTTTTTTTATAAAATTTAATAATTTGTCGTTTTTATTGACAACCTATCACTTTGACATAATGTATTTAACAAGGTATATATTAACTGTTTTTGAAAGTTTTTTCGTGGTTGGAACTTTTTTGCCGTCAAAAAATCACATGCCTTACTCTGAGTTCACAGTTAGCGCAAATTCGCAATGGAGAATACAAAAAAATGAGGGCACTGCATTCACAGTTAGCACGAATTCGCGACGGAATACAAACATGATTGTATATTTTTTTACACTTAACAGCGAATTCGCGCTAACTGTGAATGCAGGGTTATAAAAGTGAATCAATAAGAAAAACTCTTTGCCTTAAAAATTGGCTTAGCATTATAAATTAAATTAATATACATTTTAATTTTGTTTATAACTTGATCGAATGTTCTATATCATCAGATAGTTATAATTTTTTTTGTTTAAAATTAGATGTGCTATAAAAAAAATTCTGTCAATAAATTTTCATATTAAATATTATATGGTATCTTTAAAAAAAAAGAATTATTCGAATAATTTGAATTAAATAAAAATAGTAAATTTTATTATTCTTACAAATACGAATAGTAATTTATTGATTTAAACAAATTGAATACGAAATAATGCACTATAAGATTCATATTCGATTTTGAATATACTTACCCATTATTAACAATTTCTATTCTATTCTATTCTAATATAATAATATTATATTAATCGTAGTATTCGTCATTGTTACTCTGCTTAAAGGTATGTATAAATTTAAAATTTAACTTTATTCGAAATTTTTTTTTTAATGTATAAGAGGGAATTTAATCATAAAATGAAACTATTTAAGACTTGTTTTCACATTTTCCACCCAATCCATAAGTATTGAAGGTATAGGATTATCACTTTAAATATCCGGTCTGGGTCTCCAACAAAGAAGTCATATAGGACATCATTCTATTTCCGGCTGACAGGGCTCTCGAATTTAAATAGAATTGGTTAGTATAATAAATTAATTCGCATCGCCAATTCTCGTTAAAAATTTTTATCTTGATTTGCTAACTTTTTATTCAGGTATACATGATTGGCATATATTTTATTTTTGTAACATTAATTTACATATTTGTTATAAGACGATTACAAGAAAGGTAAATTTTTTATTATTATTTAAATAGTTTAGAAAAAATTCAATTGATATTTATTAAACACAGAAATAAAATTATAAGCATGGGTAGAAAATGTTCATCCCAATTTCCTGTTAAAATAATGTTTTTTTTGGAAAAAAATATAAATAACCTGATAGATTTTTAATTAATAAAAATCTTCAAAACTAGACTCATTCATTTATTACATCATTTTTTGCTATAAAGCTTAATTTTACAACTAAATCCCGAAAAAAACTATAAAATTTATAATTATTTTTATATTTTATGGAGCTCCTTTTTTTTACTGCAGGTTTAGAAATCTTCGAAATATGCGCCACGGTTGAAGGAGACGAATTATATATAAACATCATAGATTTCTATGAAGTAAAACTTAGCTTAAACTTAACTTATGATTTTTTTTAAATCGAAAGATATTTTATGATTATAATAAAACAATATAAACGAATTATATTCATTTAGGAATTTCTTTTGATTTTATAAATAATAAACTAACTTTTGCTCTGTAGAGTATATATGAAATTTAATTCAATCGTCCAACATAATACCAAATTTAATCACCCTTTTAAAAACTATTAAAAATGTGGCTACTACAACTTTAAAAACATTAAATAAACATAAAAGTTTTTGTGTTTGTAAATCTTTATTATTATAACACCACCATAGAGTCCAAAATAAAAAAAAATACAAGTATTCAAAATAACTAAAAACAAAATTAAAAATCATTCAAAAAATAATCAATGAATGTATGTCTTCACAATTTTCTTTTCCGCAGGTCTGTCTTTGTTTTCCTCTTTTACTAATCGTCACCTAAAATATTACCATATATGACATCTCCCCTCTTTATTTTGGTCTATCACCTTCTTTTGATTCGATTTCCCTTTCTTTTACATTCATTTCATTCATTCCATGCTCATTGAATTCCCTCAAACCCAAATCCTAGCTTTGTAATAACTTGATTTCCTGTTGTTTTTTTCAATCTCAGCATTTGATGTGCTCGTACACCAGGCGCGTACGCAGGAATTTTGTCTGGGGGGGGATAATAAAATTTTTAAGAAATATTATTGTTAATTAAAAATACTAAGCATAAATTTATTAGGACTAATAACTTTTCAAATACACAATTTTAAATTAATGTGAATTACAAAAAAATTATAATATAAACCGGCATTGATATACTATAAAATAAATGTGAATTATAAAATATAAATTGAATATAACCACGATATGAATCACTTAAATGACCCAAAATGAAATTTAAATTTTTTGAGCCTTTAAAATACAATAAAGTATAAAAAAATTAAATGTTATAAATATAAATTAATACACAAAAAGTTTGTTAGGAATAATTGTATTTTGCATGTTTTGAGCTAATTTTTCAATTATCTATCTTTGCTTGGCGTTAAATGCTATGAATATTCAAAAGATCCAAATCATTCAATCTACTTTCAGAAGTTGTATTTCATAGGTATGTTTTTCAGAGACTTGCAGGCTCGGCCCCCGAGCCGGACCGTATTTTAATTTTTTTAAACATACTAGGATCGGGCCCGAAGTTAAGCTGTATATTTTAAAACCAAATATTTGAAATCGCCATTATTTGCTATAAAAATCAAAAATAAATATATTTTAAAAAAATTCGGGCCGGGCCTGAAAATTTTTTAAAAAAAACCCGGACCGAAAAAAATTTAAAAAAAAAATCTGGTCCGTACCCTGCAAATGGTACTTCTGCAGGGCTCTGTTATTCTTCTTAAAAAAGAGAATGTTCTCTCATTAGCTTACTAGAGTTGCTAATATATATAACCATTTTAATACATTGGGATTATAATCTAAAATGTGTTTGAAATAATGCAAAGCATCCATAGCATTTTTTGGGAAGGAATCAACCATAGTTAATCTTTTAATCATAGTTATTCAGCAGGCATCATAAGACATTTTAACATCTTCATGATAAAAATTTAACAAATATTATTCAAGTCAATGTCATGTTTTTGAAAAGTATTACATAAAATAGTTGTATAATTAAATAATGCATTCTAATGAGAAAAAATATTTGGAATAAGTATTGAATCCAATAATTTTCTTGCTTCTGAGGAAATATTTCTTTCAAGCCATTGGGATATTTCAGTAATAACATTAATAATCGGCTTTTCTAACTCCATAAAAGCTGTTACTTATTGATGGCGGAGACTCGATCTCGTTGGACAAGCTTGCAATTTCTTTCTCCCTGTTGGACAAGGAATTTCAGGGATAATTATTATTTGACTAGAGATTTAGATAAATAATACGCCACTAAAATTTGAAAAAAACGGGTAAATTACGCCAAGGAAAACTTGAAATGGAAATTAATTGATAAAATAACTTAGTAGATGAATGTGATAAATAAATGTAATTAAATATATATATGAGATAGGAATAAATATTAACAAATATAAATTAACATTAACAATAATATTTTTAAAAACATAATCCGGCATCTGTATTTTTTGGCTTGGGGGGGAGGATTTGTCCCCCTGCCCCCCCCGCTGGGTACGCACCTGTTATACACCAATGCTATGATTCCTTTTGTTATCCATCATATTTCGACTAATTAATCATTATTTCTCCATTACCATTTATCTTATTCTTCATTATTATCGTTTCTTTTGTTCCCAATTTCATTCATTTTAATCTTTTCGTATTACAACTTTTCCCCCTTCTCGTCTCACGTCAAATCTTGCTCTTTCCAACATTTAACCTCACTTTCATTTTATATTATTTCCTGTATACGTTAATGGTGGGTTATTGCGTTTAGGCTTGGTTTATTTTGATTATTGTTATTAAAAACTAACATGTTTGCGTGTTTTATATTATACAATATGATTTGCTTTTGGTTGTGTTTATAACAACATAGTATATTTTGTTTGTGTATTTTTATGTCCTCTGAATTATTTTGTTAAATATTTAATTTTTTCAATATCACGATTTAATATATACTCAGAAGGATTTATGGGCAATAATAAATGTAAATTGTATAAAGCCATTTGGTGAATAACAAATCGTTTATTGATTTGAGTCAAAAATATATCCAAAAGTGGAATAACAACAGTTATTTTAGTGTAATCCTATTGAGTCCACATGATTGTTTGCCTAGGTGAAAGTCGAGGCTTACAAATATTAAAATCATTTAATTTCGCTTTTGCCTCAATAATCTATAAATCACGTAAAATGGTATATTTTATCTCTTTGTTTTAAAAGTTATAATATAAAAATATTTGGGATTCTCATAGCTTTAGCCAAATCCATATTATTATTTTTTTATATATTGCCTAAAGTTGTTGTGTAATTGAATATTATTAATACTTTCCAATGCAAAAGGAAATTTGAATCTAATAATGACTGCTTCCGATAAAGTATCTGGTTCCGGCTATTCTAACATTTCTCAAAGGGAATTCAAACTTGGCTTTTCTAAATTCAAAAATGTTGTAACACTTAATGTCGAAGTCTTCATCTAGCCGGACATGCTTTTTGAAATTTATTTCTTCCTATAAGAAGTTTCAAAAATTATTTTATTAACCAATTTCTGACTTTTTTAGATATCTCAACATTTTATACACTCTAGAAATGTTGCCTAATCATAGCAATTAGTATATATATAAGTTAAATAGATCTTGTATCCATCAATGTTTAAGGTTTAAAAAAAAATGTAAGAAAATATACCTGGCATAAAATATTAATACAAAAGGAAGAAATATTAATACAAAAGGAAGAAATATTAATACAAAAGGAAGAAATATTAATTAACTTTGCTATATTTTAATATAGAGAACATTTTGCAATTCGCAATTCATGAAAACCTTATATATATTTTTTTTAAATTTCGCCAGAACATGTTGATTTACTTTATTTATTTGATAATCATTGAAAAAATTTATGATATAATACAATATTTCGTGAACTGATATAATTCATTAATCTTTATTTCTCATGATGAAGTTATTTATTACTTCAAATTTATCCCATAAAAAATCTAAACATTTTGCAGAGACTAGTTAGTTCATTATGTATTTAATTCGCATAATATTATAATTCTATCAACGGGTAAAATTATTTTAAAACATATCCGCCAAATCTAAGAAAAATATTCATAGGTTTTTACCTTATATACTAACCCGGTATTTCATTGAGATACTAAGAATATAGTGGATCAGCATATTTTTTTCCTACTCGTTCTCGTTTTACATATAAATAAAAAATAAATTAATTATTATTTTTTATTTTTTTGGAAATGATAAAAGATTTATTTTAAATCATAGATCTGAAGGCCTGGAACCTGATCTAGAAACCTTTCTCGATCTAGATCAGAAAATATTATGATTTTTAAAATTTGGGTAGAACTTAAAAAATTTTTTTAATTAACAATCCGGGCCGAGATAAAAAAAATTAATTGAAATTATATTAATTAATCATTTAGTTAAAAAAAATAATATCTTAGAGCGTTTATAAGGCCAAAATTATTTTAATAGGGTGGGGGGGGGGCAGAACCTAAAATGATTAAAAATACAATCCGGGGCTGGGCCTAAAATTTCATCTCTGCAGGTCTATGTTTTAAAAATGAGAATATTTTTAAGAAAAAAATTATAAAATCTACCTATCTTTATCTAATAGTAGTAGTAACAATCAGGATCACGAGAGGGTGGAATGGCGGGGGGGGGTAGTCTAGCCCACCATAATTAGGATGTTTTTGGCGGCCAAATTTTCTTTCTTATGCATTTAAAAATAATTTCTTATTCAAAAAGGTATAAATATTGCATAAATTATTTTTAGTATTACTCTAATTCAGTTATATTTATTCTTATTAATTTATTATATAACTATTACCTAATTTATATACTACGTAATTCACGAATCCCTTTTTAATTTTTTTAGTTTTTTCAAATCTTAGATAAATTTAGAGGTTTTTTAGGGCCCTCGAATTTATTTCCGCCATGAGCCGCCAAATTGGCAGGTCCCGAATAAAGATTAATTCTTCAAAAATATAGTATTTAATGGTTTTTTTTACCTATTCAAAATGGTGATTTTTCTAAAAATGTGGGGAATAAATGATTTTAAAATTTATATAAAATCAATATGTAAACATTAATATAATCTAATTCGCATTTATATCTGCGAAATATTTGCTGATATATTTTTTTTTATATAAGGAATGATTTGTAATATCGGGTTACATATATTTTTTGAATGCGCAATACAAATTTATTCATAATCGTTTCAATTGATTTTAGTATAATGTTTATATGAATGATCCCGTACAAAGACCTATATTTGTGGGTACTAAATTAGTCTATGGTTATATCAATGAATCAAGAAAACTTAACATTGGATCCAACAAAATTCCTTTCAAGCCCTCTATAATAGGAAACAGTATTGTGTTTCATTAGTTCTAGTGATTATTATTTGAACATTAGATTCTTATTAATATGGGCATAATAATATTAATTATTTATTATATTATAATCTGGTATTTTTATAGATGAACATTACATTATATGATTTTGATTAAAATAGGGAATTTAAAACAATAAATAAAACCATTGTAATTGAAGATTGTTAATGTATTAATTTAATGAAGTTTCATTATATAATAATTCCATATTATGAAATTCATAGACACGAAGATGTGAAAATTCCCTTGTTTACGATTTGTTAAAATAGAGTTGTAAGTTAATAAATTAAACATATACAGGTTGGTGTCGAAGTGAGACTAGTAATCAGACCATTAGATACAGGACAAATTCAGAAGAAAATATTTATGACAAAATTTACTAATCTTAGATCAATACTCTCCTAATAGCTTTTCGGCACCAATAAATAAAAATATTACAATTTTCGAAGATATAATAAAAAATATTCAAAAAATGGAAGAAACGTGTAGATGTGATGGAGTAAATTAAAGTTTTAAGGAAGGAAGTAAATACTTGTGTTAAATAGAGTAAATTTTATAGGTATGAATTTTGTTTTAATAGAAATAGAATGGATTGAAATAAATTAGGTATGTTTGTATTGTATTAATTTAACAATAAAATTTTTAAATTGATTAAAATGTTGTAGAAAGGACGATTAAATTAGGGAAAATAATGGGGAGGATTGAAAGAAATCACCTCTAAGAACTAAATAAGGCTTTTGTGCTAAATATTTTATCAAGATGATTATTAATGAAAATAACACATATATATATAAGTTTTATATAAGTGTAAGTAAATGATAATTTAGAAAAGGTGTTGATGAACTTTTCATATAACTCACTGGAAATAACTGGCACATTAAAGAAAATAAGAGGACACGTTTTAATATGCTGCTGATATCTAAGATACTAAAAATGTTCTTATTTATTGTATTAGAAATTGAGAATTAGAATATATCGGTATATATTTAAATAGCAGATGTTGAAATTAAAAACTAAACACAGGGTTATTTTATTAAATATTTGCAATTATCTTATAGAGTGGGACATAAGATAAGCCCAGGTTGATAATAGATTGGATATTAGTTGCTGATTAATCAAAAATTATCATATATTTGACAGATAGAGCCACAATCGATCTCGATTAGATTTTTTTTGTAAAGAATAAAATGACATTAATTGTGTAATAGCCTAAAATGAAAGGGGGGGGGGAGAAAAATGATAAGAAGATTGCATATGAAAATGAAATGTAAATTGTTTAATTAATAGTAATTTGCAGGCCAGATGTAAATGAAGTAATGGTTTTTGAATTACGATTTTTGTGATTTTGAAAATTGCATAAGGAAGGAGGTAAATGAAATAGAATGTTGTGTTTTTCTTTAAAGATATAATAGCAATTCTACATTTCATTAGAGCTCTGGTATCGTCCCGTCTAGTAGCAATGCAATAAATAACTCTAACAAACCCATAAATAGCGATGACCACATTATTACTTTATAATTTATTTTTTTTGTCAATAATATTCCATTATTTTTAGTTAATAATATTTTTATGCACTTCCCGCAGTTTATATATATATTCCAAAATATAAACCGCTACAACCGGAGTCCTCGTTATCATAATAAATCTAAGAACCGGAATTTAAGACGCCTAGCGACCAGAATTAGACCTTCATTTTGAAAAATATTCCGAGCCGTAAACCCATTTTTATGGTTCAAACTTTGATATAGTAATTGAAGTGCTATCATAAATATTTTTTTTATTCCTTCCATTGTACTTTTATGTGTTTGATTTACACTTTACAAACTTTCATATCGTATCACCCCAGTGGCATATTCAGGATTTTATTTTAAAACCTGTCCAAGTCTTATTTAAGTTTATATGATGAAGGTAGTTAAATTTTAAATTTTTCTTATACTAATATTTTTTTATAAATGAATAATAAATCTAGTGTTTGCAGGGGTCCGGTCTCATGTGACTATTGGGTCCGACGGGAAGGTCCGGTCCGGCAACACGGTCCAATAGTCCGGTCCGACCGAAGACCGATTAAAAAAGATAAAAGATTACAATGAATTATTTTTTAGTTAATGTACATCTAAAACATGATTATTTAATGCCTAACACTTTATAATATCTCATTCATCGCTTACTTTTTATTATCTTCCGTTTCATTTATTCATCAAATAATTTAATTTAGTAGTTAGTATCAGGCGCGTACGCAGCGGGGGGGGGCAGGGGTAGAAACCCCCCCCCCCCCCCCCCCGCCCAAGCCAAAAAATGCAGATGCCAGATATATTTTTCAAAAATATTATTGTCTATATTACATTTATTTATCACATTCATTTATTAAGTTATTTTATCAATTAATTTCGATTTCAAGTTTTCCGGTGTAATATTTACTTATTATTTTCAAATTTTTAGTGACGAAATATTTATCTACCATTTTCAAATTCCTAGTCAAATAATAATTATTTAAACTCCTTGTCCAACAGGGAGAAAGAAATTGCAAGCTTGTCCAACGAGATAGAGTCTTCGCCATCAAGCAGTAACAGCTTTTATGGAGTTATAAGAGCCGATTATTTGCTATTACTGAAATATCACAATGGCCTGAAAGAAATATTTCCTCAGAAGCAAGAAAATTATTGGATTCAATGCTTATTCCAAATTTTTTTTCTTATTAGAAAGTATTATTTAATTATGACATTGACTTGATTAAGAAGATGAGAATAAGGAAATTAGGGCTAATGCTGAAGAAGAATTTCATATTTTATATGTTATTGTTGAGTCAAAAGCTATTTGTCTCCCTCGACTTGCAGCAAGACAAGCTCATCGTTAAAACATTAATATAGGATCAGTAGAAGTATAAAACAAATGTCCCCTCTGTTAGATACATTTATAACCCAAATAAATGAATGGTTTTTAATTCATCATGCAGCACTTACTAATCTACAGATATTACTTCCACAAAAGCTTTACCAACCTTTTTCAGATGGCGATAGAAAAAAAAATATTTGTTTTATCAAGAAGATGTTAAAGTATCTTATGATCCCTTATTAGCTGAATAACTATGTTTATAAAATTAACTATGGTAGATATAGTCCCAATGCTATGGATGCTTTGCATTTGAAACACATTTTAGATTATATTTCCAATGTATTAAAAGGGTTTATATATATTAGCAACTCTTCCTATTAGTAAACTAATGAGAGAACATTCTCTTTTTTAAGAAATAACAGAGCCCTGCAGAGGTACCATTTGTAGGGCACGGGCCGAATTTTTTTTTTAGAATTTTTTACGGCCCTGTTTAGTTTTTAAAAAATTTTTTTTAGGCTTTCTCCGGCTTTTTTTAAAATAAAATTTTCAGGCCCGGCCCGGATTTTTTTAAAATAAATATATTTCTTTTTGATTTTTATAGCTAGTAATAACGATTTCAAATATAGGTGGTTTTAAAATATACAACCCGGCCCGGATATTTTTTTAAAAAAATTTTCAGGCTCCGCCCGGGTATTAAAAAATTAAAATACGGTCCGGCCCCCAGATCTCTGAAAAACATACCAAGAAGTACAACTTCTGAAAGTAGATTGGAAGGTTTGGATCTTTTGAATATTCATAGGCATTTGACGACAAACAAGGATGAGATAATTGAAAAATTAGCCCAATCTGAAAGAAGATTGGATTTTACATGTAAATAATAACATACAAAATACAATTATTCCTAATAAACTTTTTGTGTATTAATTTATATTTCCAACATTTAAATTTTTTATACTTTATAAATTTTAAAGGCTCAAAAAATTCAAATTACTATTTTGGGTCATTTAAGTTATTTATATAGTGGTTATATTCACTTTATATTTTATATCACATTTATTTTATAGTTTTTCCATACCGCCAGTTATATCCGTTTAATTTAATTCACATTTATTTTATAGTTTTTTATATGACGGTTAATACATATAATTTATTTTAATTTACATTTTTTTAAAATTGTGTATTAAAAATAGTTATTAGTTCTAATAAATTTATGCTTGATATTTTTAAAAAACAATAATATTTCTTAAAAAAATTTATTACTCCCTTCCCCCTAGACCCAAATTCCTGCGTAGGAGACCGGGGATGGTTGGGACACTTTTCGTTCATACCTTAATAATTTTAATATTAATAGACTAATCTGAATAATTAAAACATCTTCTGAATCCCAGAAGTATAGGCTATTTGAAATAATTAATATATATTTTATGAAGATTATATTTTTTTAGGAAATTGAAATAAAAAAAAAATTTTTTTTTGTCCCAACCATGACAGACTCTGTGTACGTTGTTGGGACACACATATGTGATAGTTGGAACACTTGTGAAATAGAGGTCTAAATAAATTTAAAAATTTAAAATCAGTAATCCAGTAAGACTAGAGACTATGACACACAAATTTCCAGTCTTATAAAATAATAGCTCAAATTATAATTAGTGTCCTAACTTTCCCCTGTACTCAATGTACCCCGGTCTCCCCTACGCGCCTGGGTAGTATTATGTTTTTATTTTTAGAAATGAAAATGGAAATTGAAATCATAGAAGATGATTATATTATTTAACAACCACCCTTTTCTACAGGTGAAAGAATAACTATTGATTTAGAAAATAGTGTTAGTAGTGTAAATGAAAAAAGGTCAAATTCAAATGTGAAGGATGTTAAACTATGCAAATTTTTAAGAAAGGATAATTTTGGAACATGTAAAATATGTCTCCATATATTTTCCAATTCTTCAAGCATAAGTAAATTATCCATATATATATATATCAATTGAGAGCTCAAAAATTTAAATAATTCTATAAAAACTTCATCAAATAAACTTATATATAGTTATGATTAGGGCTGTGAACCAATATTAAAAACCCAAAAAACGAAATATTGTATTGGTATTAGGTCTAAAATATTGGTATTGGTTTAAATAATATTTTCTATTTCTTGTATTGGTATTAGTTTATATTGGTTTAAATTC